GAAGCACCCCCGCCCTTCCAGACACAGCGGCAGCAGCAGCACCGGCGGCGGCAGTGGCAGTGGCAGTGGCAGCTGTGGCGGTTTATTTATCATTGCGGCAGCCGAGGGAATCGGAACGCAACCGAGGGAGAGGAAGGAAGGAAGGAAGGAGAGAAACGACTTACACGTCTACCATCCAAGCATGGCTACCCAAAGCACGGCATCGTGCACCGGATCCACTTTGCTGCAGCCCATCAGCGACATTATCAACCTCCCTCTCGACCAGGTATGACTCGCAATCGTTCGTGTTTTGGGGAAAAAATGCAGCCCAGACTGCAAATGACGCCGCGGCTCGCTAGCTATGTGTGATCACAAGGCTATCAGAAAGATGCGCATGGCTAACCACTGCCAAATATGTTCAAAAAAACTGATTACAACATGGGATTTATGTGAGGAGCATTGGTCAACATTTGAGCTTTAACATACCATCATTGACGTTAGCCTGATTGCAACTACAGTCGTGCCTTTTGTCTTTTTCGCACAGCCCGTCTGATTCCCCCCCACCATGAGCCCCCAATCACGTTTTTCCGAAGCCTACACATTATAATCTGATTTAACTAGTTACATCTCATTTACATATTCACGTGAGGCCACTGGTTGTCCACTTGTAATTGCCTGTAAGGTGACACATGACTAAATGTGATGTTCTGAAACGAAATTTAAACGAAACCAGTGTGAAACCTGTTTCAATCCAAGGCTATTTTAAAGCAAATGCCAATTTATTACGTGTAGCACGCGCGTTCACCTTACAGTATTGTTTTCATTTTGGCTATGTGAGTTAATGCATTCAATGCTGAAATGTGAGACTCGAGTAGCCTGGAGTAGTTAGTGGCGATTGCGTCGTAAGCATTTAAATGTTTGTCATGTCAACATGCTTTTTTAAAATTATATATTCACCCTCTTACAAATGCACTTTTACATATAAAATAACATTTTCCTATTCAAAGCCAAATGTCTAGTGTTCGCATGGATAGTCGGTTTTGTCAAAGCTGCTGTTCCAATTTGGCAGCACCACTTCAAACTTTTTAAGAGAAATAACATTTCAAGTGTCTTTTGCTTACTGTAGGTAATCCTGTAATACATTGTGATAAGTTTCACTTTTAGTCTATTTTTAAAAGAAAAACCGACCTATCCAAAGTTTCCTCAATTTTTTTTCTGTTCAACGCCTAATTTAATTCCTCTCTGAAACCCAAAGTTCCCAAAATACATCACATATTGCCATTAAATGAACACAATTTCATAATAAAAAATCCAGAACACTGAATTTATACCACGAGATGATTTTAAAAGCCAAAATACATATATGCCTTTTTTTTTTTCCAAGCAACTCCTTTTGGGTTCCGAACCTAACAAGAGCAAGCACAGTCATTGACGTTATGTAAAACACTCCTCCTTGCTCAGTGGATGAACAGATTTGTCATTGCCACATGATTGTATCGTTTGAGGAAACACAACTAATAAGGACAAAAGTCACATGTTATCTTACGGTGGCGCCTTGAGGTACGAGTGACCTTGGCCGATTCTTTGCTTTGACTTGCAACTAAGTTGGTGACAGGTGACTCAACTCACTTCCCAACAAGCACCTGTTTGGCAGACATCAGTCGTAAATATTCTTAAGAAAGAGGCTAAAGCTGTTTATTGCCATTCAGCTGAAGGTTACTGTCAAACTAAACATAAAACAAAGATTATATACCCTCCACTCTCTTAATAGAAACATGCAATATAATGGGAAATACACATTACACACAGGCTAACTGTTAGCATCTATTTAGTGGTGCTGAAATGCCCAAATGTTAGCCAATGGGTGTTGCCAATGTTGTGTGGCATGAGACATCTTCATTTTGAGCGGATCAGATACTTACGATGCAGCTCGGACGACGAGGTTGTCCATTGCAATTTACCTTGTAAAAAAGTCTGTGATTCCGGTTTTCTCAACGACCTTGAAAGCAGCACGACTGAGCACTGTTTTGGGGCGGTGGTGCCATCCACAACAACTGGTGTGACTTGTTAGCCTCCTGCTAGTCACATGTGTGACTTGGCCAACAGTATTGCCAGTTGTATCTCTGCAGCTTGCTATTATGTTACGTTTGGTCCACAGATTGTTGTGATTGTTATCTCTGTGTAAGTTACGTGGTGCGCATGGGAGACTCAGGCTTCTGAGCTATAAAGTGTGCGAAAATGTGCACCTCTTCCTCGATGTACTTCCGCCGCCACCTCTCCCTTTTTATAGGAGTGTGATGCCATTCCTCTTACTTTAAATAAAGCCTCAAGTGCAGGGCTCGTGAATGATATGCTCAACGTGACAGAGCCTCATTCCGAGCTGGCTCGTAATGTTGTCAGACATTGGCCTGTCTTCATCCACTCGTCATAAACCTTGACTGACTCTCCGGTCTTGCTCTTGAAGATATTGACCCGACAGGGTTGATTCAAGAAGAATCCTTGAAATTGTACTGCTTACACATCCGCTTCTTACTCTGTGGCTTACTGCCTCTGATGCCCACGAAACCACACTTTGCTTTCACTGGAGGTATTTTTAAGTGAGCAACTACCCAGAGTCCTTTTTAGATTAAGAACTAGTGTGGTGCCTTTTCAACTGAAAATGCTGAAGCTTTGTAAGTTTTGTGAGCCACCTCTAGCACTTCTATATTCTGTATTTTGCGATAGTCTAGATCAGTTGTCACCAACGAGCACTGTGCAGTTATTAGTACCTAGGAAGTAGCTCTCAGATTCAAACAAATTGGTGACCCCCCCGTTCTAGATTTTTAGGCAAATAGTTTGTTTTGGGTATACCGGCAAGACTGAATTTACCAGATTGTACAGAAATGTGAATCGGTCTACTGGAAGAGAGGCAGGTTAATCTGGTTTATGTGCAACCGACTTCTGCATTCGGCAAAACGGGTGAACGCACTTCCTTCTGTTTTTGCAGTAAATGGCGAAACCTTCTGGACCTTTGAAAATTTTAATTGAATACCCCCATCTGTAATCATACAATTAGCAAACCTGGATCAGTGATGCTAACTAAGGAGAAATAAAAATGTCCATGTGTAGTAGAGTAGAGATTGAAAAGGGAAAAAAAAACTATTAAAAAAATTAGCAGGAATATAATGAAGAAGCTCATCTGATGAAAATTATATTTTTAATGTCGCAGAGATGTTTTGTGGTACACTTTTTGTGCCCTCCTTGGTTGACAGGTTGGATTGACCAATCACAAAAGACTGTAGTGCAAGGGTGTCAAACTCATTTTTGTCGCGGGCCACATTGTAGTTACGGTTTCCCTTGGAGGGCCGTTATGATTGTGAATTTTGTGAAAGCGTATAAATGTTTAATCACCTCTCCATATTACATACACAGCACACAACAAATTGATGGATAACTAAATAACTAAAATCAGAAGTCAAGAATAATGACTTGTTGAACCATTGTTTACATTAATGTAATAAGGGGTTGGTAATGAAAAAATGCTTGCAATATCATGTTATGATGGGTTACACATGACAATTTGAAATTTTGGTTCAGACTTTAGCAAGCATCATGGAACTTGACATGCTTGATTTGCTTTCGCAGGCCACATAAAATGATGTGGTGGGCCAGATCTGGCCCCCCGGGCCTTGACTTTGACACCAGTGCTATAGTGTGTCACCTCCAAAATTGAATGGGCATTTTCGAGATTAATCAGGGCCAGTAATGTTGATGAGATACGTCTTGGGTCAGGCACCGATCAACTGCCACTATTAATCCTGTCCAGGGTCAAGAGAAGGTCAAGAGCCTATCTCATATGTCCTTGGGAAAGACATCAAGACTGAACTTATCACCTGTCAGTCATAAGGCTGACACAAAGAGACAGACAACCATTTACATTTGACTCTTTCTGCTTAATGTACGCGTTTTGGAAAATGGAAGTACCTGCACAACATGAGAACAGAAAGAACTTGCAATCACCACACAGACTGGCAAAACAGAATGTTTGTGCCAGTTTTCGTCCCTTTTATTTGTTTTAGCATGGGCAAAGCCTTTCACATAAGCCCAACCCTTAAATTCCATTTGAGTCATCATGTGCGTCTGTCCTTAGAATGGAGCCTTATAGGTGACAACACTATTTCTCATGCGCTCATTGCCTGCTAACCAACTGTGCAGTCAGTCATCTGTTTATGTGACATTTTGCACTTTGTCACAGTAGTCGTCTTTTGTCGCATTGCAACAATCTGTCTTTTGTTGACATTATTGTCGCTGCCTTTTCCACCAGGTGGTTGGCCACTTTGCCTGCATAGTTTGGAGAACCAAGCACGACTGTTTCCTTTCCTATTCTTTTCTGTCATTGTCAGCGAAACGTAGTCAAGTGCATTCATGTGTGTAAAAATATCCTTATTTTCAACATTCCTCATCACTGCACTGAAGGCAGCCGAAGTCCTTCTGCCAGGCCGCGCCGACCAGCAACTCTTCATTCTATGGTGCCCGTACGCTGCACCCTGCTAAGTGCAGGGTGAAAAGGACGTAAGAGTGAATGCTTATTTTTCTACAGTACATGTGTGGCTGTGATTGACTGGCAACCAGTCCAACTATGCCTCTCACCCACTTAGTGACGACTAGCTCGGACACAGCCGCGACACTCAGAAGGACAAGCAGTAGAGAAAATGAATGGATGGATTTTATAATGTTTTGTTGGTCTGTACTGACTCTCCAAATTAATTTCAATGAAAGTAACCAGTTGCAGATATCGGAGACATATAGTTAAAAAAAATAAAAATAATACACGTGGGTACAACCCTCTGTTCTTGTTTATATCTCTAAAGTACCTGCCTTGGGACCTCTGATTTCATTTTAAAGCCCTAGAGTCCAGTCAAAGTTTTTCTCCGCTTGAATTTAATTGGTGGCCCTCTGGGTAGTCTTATACCGACAATTGACTTCTTTCCCCTCAGCTCTTGCTACTGGAGTGGTACCGGCGTCTGCTGTTGTTATCATTTATTATGTTGCGCGATCAACACAAACATGTGTGCTTCACCCTGGAAGAGCAGGAGTCGTCATCAGGGTGCTTGACGACGAGCCTTACGCAGTGCCAAACAATTACCAGCAGTTCCTCGGAGGATTGTGTTCTTATGTGATTGGGTCTTGATGGCTCCCAGTGTGACTGTCAACCATAGATGATGATGATGATGAAGATGATGAATTGGCCAAGTGGGAGGAGCCAACCATGGTGTAGGGCTAGTTAGTAAAACAAATACATTAGCC